AGACTGGCAGTTCAAACCCAACCAGCAGTACCACATATGTAAGGCCTGGCACTCTGCTTCCATTGAGATTACAGCCAAGAAAACTCTATGAAAGTTTTATTCTGAGTCGCCATGAGTACAAATCAACTCAACAGCAATGGGTATTGTTTTTACTATGCAGTAGGAACTGTGTCAGTGCCTGGCATACAACAGTAAATAAGATATGATCACTGGCCTCAAGGGACTTACAGTCTAGTTCAAGATGACCAGAGAAGAAATTGTATTATATTCTTCTCCATAAACCAACCTAGAGTGAGGATACAAACATATGTACATCAATATTCCTTGCTCCAAAAATAAATATACAAGGCACCAAGTCTGGTCACCAGCTGGACAAACTTTCACTACACACAGCTGCCTAATTTGCAAATAAGATGACAAAAGGCAGGCATAGCTAAAATTCTCTCAACATACTTAAGACTGCCCAGCCTTAGAAATCTAAAAACCTGTACTCAAACTTTATTCACTGAGTTTCATAACAGCAGAAGTTAGAGGAGTGACTCTCAAACTTCGCTGAGCATCAGAATCACCTGTGGGGCCTGTTAAGCCAGCTGGGGTGTAGCTTGAGAATTTTCAATTCTAACCAGTTTCCGGTGATGCTGCTGTTGCTGTTGCTGCTGCTGCTGTTACTGGTGGGTACAGTGGGTATACGAGAGGTTGGTGGAAGGGTAACACTTTTAAGAATAACTGTCTAGAGGACAGGGAGTATGGTGGTACAGTGGTTAAGCACTTGGCTGTGAGCCAAAAGGTCAATGGTTTGAACCCACTAGCTGCTCCACAGGAAGATGTGGTCATCAGCTTCTGTGAAGATTTACAGCCTAGGAAACACTATGGGGCAATTCTTCTCTGTCCTACAGGGTCTCTGTGAATTGGAATACACTTGATAGAAGTGGGGTTGGGTCTAGAAGACAAGTGTTCTCAACACTGGCAGCACATTTGAATCACCTGGGGAACTCAACAACAGCAAATACCTGGTTCTAACTTCAGACCAATTATTTAAGAATTTCTCACCAGGAGATTTAATGTGCAGCCAGGCTGAGAACCACTGACCTTCACTATCACTCAGCAGTAGTCTTTAGGGTCCTATTGTTATGTGCCGTTGACTCAGCCCTGACTCATAGCAACCCCTCCTTGGGTTTCCGAGGTGGTATCACTACGGAAGTAGATTGCCCAACCTTCCTTCCAAGGAGTGGCTGCTGGGTTTGAACCACCAGCCTTCTGGTTAGCAGTCAAGTGCCTTAGGCAAAGGAAAACCAAAAAGGGAGGTAGCACCAGAAAAGTTTATGTCTGCCATATGATCCTAGAAACAACAAGGTGATGTTTTAAATATTGTAAATGCAGTATCAACTGTGAAACAAGAAATTCAAAAGGAAAAAAAATACTACTAGAGAGTCATGATAGGGGCTCTGGTGGCACAGTGCTTAAAGCTTTCAGCTGCTAACCAAAAGATGGCAGTTCAAACCCACCAGTTGCTCCTTAGGAGAAACATGAGACAGTCTGCTTCTGTCAAGATTTATATAGCCTTGGAAACTCCACTGTCCTACAGGGTCACTATGAGTCACAATCAACTTGCTGTCAGTGGGTGGAATGAGAGAGTCAGGAAAAGGAGGGAGTTATGGAATATGTGGCTAATTTCCTCCAGGAACAACTACTTCCTTTGCCATGAGACCAGAAGAACTGGATGGTGCTTGGGTACCAGTACTGAACATTCTGATCAAAGATTTCATAGGAGAATCCTGATCTAAACAGGGGAAATGAGGAACAGAATTTCCAATTCTCATACACTCTAGACTTTCTGGAGCCAAGAAGGGTGGATGACTCACTGAAACTACTGCCCTGATATAATCTTTAAATCTTAAACCAAAAATATCCCCTGAAGTCTTCTAAAACCAAACAACAGTCTAGCTTAACTAGTGAAAAAGGTCTGTCTTGAGTATCATGCTCTTTTAAGAACCATCTATATGGGCTCAAATTGACAAGAGCAACTTGAAAGATTAGATAAGAACCTTAGGGAGCAATAGTTTATGGTAATGGGGAGGAACAACTCAGAAAAGCTGGGTAAGGATGGTTGCACAACTTGAAGAATATAATCAATGTCGCTAAATTGTACATGTAGAAACTGCTGAGTTGGTGTATGTTTTGCTGTATATATGCTCAACAATAAGAAAATAAACAAAATGTGAAAGAAAACAATGTTCACATCTTTAAACATACTGGCAAAAGCAAAAAGTAAAACTATTTTTTAAAAAAAGTGAACAAACAAAACAAAACAAAAAAAAAAAACCACCACTGGATATGACTTATGAATCTTAGTCTGTGGAACTTACTGCTAATTAACAGACCACTTAGAAATTCAACCCTCGGAAACCAGTTACCATGAATAGTCTCAGCACATTGATTTTACTCACTGCAAGCATCTTCAGTAAAAGCTCCTGCTGTTCTCTTATTGCTTGATCTTTAGTGCTCTCTTCATATTCGTAATTATTTTTAGCTAAATATTCAAGGTAGTTGTGAAACATTACCGAACGCCAAAACTGTTCCTATAAAATGGGAAAAAACAACTTAGAATCAACTATGACCTCAATACCAGGCAAGTGTTAACTATCTGAACATTTGTTTCAGTTTATGTTCTGAAATTCTGCTTTCCATATCTTATTTTAAAACTCCAATTGCAATGTGATACATGGCTTGATTTTATCTTCTTTCCTTGAAAAATAGGAAAAAAAACAAAAACAAAAAACAGGACATGTCACATTTTAAACAGTTTCCTAGCTATCGGAAGCAAGGCTCAGAGAACTCAGTAAAGTGGTTTTTTAGAAGCTGAAATGGTTCTTGCTTAGATCAACTAACTGGAAGATTTCAAACCTTTGATGACATGAGCTAGGACTAGGGTGAGGAAAGCAAGGTCCCTACGGCACAGAATTGATGAAGGCACTCCCTCTCAGGTGCTGCCATGACTCCTTGGGTTTCTGAGGCAGTTTCTCTACCGAAGTAGATTGTCCAATCTTCCAAGTATTGCACTAGAACAAACCTGCCACAAAAGACCTCTTTCAAGTGTTGAAGGACAGAGATGTCACTCTGAAGACTAAGGTGCACCTAACCCAAGCCACAGTATTTTCAATTGCCTCATATACATGAGAAAGCTGGACAATGAATAAGGAAGACCAAAGAGTTGATGCTTTTGAATTGTGGTGCTGGCAAAGAATACTGAAAGTACCACGGATCTCCAGAAGAGTGAACAAATCTGTCCTGAAAGAAGTGCAGCCAGAATGATCCTTAGAACCAAGAATGGCCAGACTTCGTCTTACCTATTTTGGGCATGTTGTCAGAAAGGACCATTCTCTGGAGAAGGATATCATGCTTGGTATAGTGGAGGGTCAGCAAAAAAGGGGAAGACCCTTAACAAGATGGACTGAAACAGTGGCTACAATGATGGGCTCAAGTATAACAAGGATTGTGAGGCTGGTGCAGGACTGGGCAGTGTTTCATTCTGTTGTACATGGGGTTGCTGTAAGTCGGAGCCAACTGGACAGCACCTAACAAGAAAGTGTTGAAAAGAGATGTCACTTTGAGGACTAAGGTACACCTGACTTAAGTCATGGTATTTTTAGTTGCCTCATCTGTATGTGAAAGCTGGATAGTGAATAAGGAAGACCATGCAAGAATTGATGCATTTAAATTATGGTGTTGGTAAAGAATACTGAATATACCATGGATGTCAGAAGAATGAACAAAGCTTTCTTAGAAGATTTACAGCCTTAATGCTCTTTAGAAGCAAGGATGATGAGACTTCATCTCACATACTTTGGACATGTTATCAAGGAGGGACTTATGCTGGAAAAGGACATCATACCTGGTAGAGGATCAGTGAAAAAAGGAAAACACTCAATGAGATGGATTGACCCAGTGGTTGCAACAATGGGGTCAAAGACAGTAACGACTATGAGAATGGTATAGGACTGGAAAGTGTTTTGTTCTGTTGTACACAAGGTCATGATGAGCCAGCAGACTCAACAGCACCTTAACAACAATAACCATCACTTATGTAATTAAGTGATGAATACTCAACACTGGCCATCACAATAATTTTTAAAAGCAGGCAGTGTATCGTTAAATTCAGAGTGTCAAGGTAAGATGTCCACATACCTCCATTTGTCCTTTCTCTGTTGCAGTCTGACAGTAAGGAAGCTTAAAGGATAATATCACTACAGCAGGCCGTGGAAGCGTAGGAGGAAACCGTGAACCTTTACAAGGAATGCACCTGTCAATACAAAAATAGTCCCTCATAAAAATGTTCTAAAATGTCATAGGAGCTCTGATAGTGTAGTGCCTAAGGCATTTGACTGCTAACCAGAAGGCTGGTGGTTCAAACCCATCAGCCACTCCTCAGAAAGAAGGCTAAAGGGGTGAGGTCGCCACTCAAGGACTAGGGGATTAGAGCCACGCAGTGAAAGAGATCTGTACAGGTGCCAAGTTGAGTGGCTGGGCAGCTGGTGGTAGTTATTCCCCATGATGAGACTAGCAATCAACTCCATGGCAGGATATACCACAAGCAGCTGAGTAGCTGCTTCATGGATGTGGTCTGCTTCCCACATATAAGCAGCAGCTTTGGAATGGTTTCTAGCTTATGGCACGCTTGAACTCTTCATGTAGCCGTCATTGTTCAGCAGCCTGCCATGCTCTGCCAGTCTTGGGACTTTTAACGGATTTGAATTAATAGCCTGCTGAGTGGTTTGGTAATATTGGGACTGTCCCTTTCCACTTGTCAACCTTGGGCTTCTCAGCCTCAGCAGCCAGCAGCTGTCTGAGTGAAGAAAAGCCTCCAGCTTCAGTGGGCCAGAAGCAGGGGGCAGAGCTGAAGCCCAAGGCTGAGGGGCTTTCACCCAGCCCCTAGAGCCTGGCACTTCGAATTCAGACTTAAAGCTTCCAAAATTATAATAGAATAAACTCCTGTTTGTTCAAGCTATCCCATTTGTGGTATATTCTTGTCAGAGCAGCACTAGGTAACCGAAAACATGGTCATCCATATTACACAGGCTTTTAGTCAGGGCTTTCAGTCATGACATCCTTGATGGGAAAATGTAAGCAGAAATTAGACCTTTATTTTATATTTAAAGTTTTTCATAAATATCATCTAGTATTATCAAGTTCTCACTAAATCAGAAAATAAATACAGGTATGCATCGCTCAATGTGTATTTAGGCAACATCTGACCACACATGGGAGCTCTGGTGGTATAGTGCCTAAAGCATTTTGACTGCTAACCAGAGGGCTGGGGGTTCAAACCCACCAGCCACTCCTCAAAAGGAAGACTGGGCAATCTACTTCCATAGCAATACTGCCTCGGAAACCCAAGGAGGGGATGCTATGAGTTGGATCCGACTCGACGGCAGTGAGTTTTAGAGTTTTTTGACCACATATATGACTGTTGACCAGGACACCCAGGTGTCTGACTGCCAGGACACCAGACTTTCCTCTTGAAGTCAGACCTTCACTTCTACTTAGCTGCTATGTGCAGCCTGGAAGCCACCTAATCTGCAGCAATGGAGGCCCAGGCCTAAAACTACCAAGCCTGGTCCCCTTTGGACCCCGTGACTCAGAATGTCTAATCCCCATGTTTTGCCCAGTGTAGAAATATAGGGCACCAATGGAAAGTATGTACCCCAGTCACCTCAGCCCTGCCTTGGCAGTCTCTGGCCCCCTTGGCCAGCACTGCCCCCTCCCTGGGCAAGTTCTCAAGGGTGAACTGGCTTTCCCTGCAGCTGTCTTAGCAGAGAAGGTGGCAAGAGTTGGGCAGGACTAGACAGAGTGTTCATCTAAGGCATCCGCACCTGAGTTGCCTGGGCACCCACCAGGTGGGACATGTCCGAGCACTCACCTGAGGTGTTTCAGTTGAGAGCTGCCTAAGCCATGTGCTACACAGCAACCCCTGGGCCACTGCATCTGGCAGCCTCTTGCCCCGTAGACATAGGTGTTTGTACAATCACATGTCCTATTTTACAGAGTGGATTGCAGACATTAAGCAACACATAACTATACACAGAAATATCTAATATCCACGCATCTTTTTTTTAAATTTTAGTTGGAAAATTTGGCCTTGGTGACAGGAATAATGCTGGAACTTGTATGGTAGAATTTTGCAAGACCAACGACTTGTTCATTGCAAACACCTTTTTTCAACAACACAAA